ACATTTTCAGACACAATTTGGAACGAACTGTGAACACCCCAATTATAAATTTTGATGAAATTTTGAAAATTCTTTCAAATGGACAAAAACAGGATATACATGTATATTTCTTGTTGTTCTACCTTTCTTTAACATACATTTCAATTTCTTTATCGTACTAGCTGGCGGGCTTAAATCGACTTTGGCTGCAATTGCATTCCGATTGCGAATACAATTTTTTTCGGCCGAGTTAAGTTCAAATCATTGGAATTAACTAAATTAATTATNGGAATAACTTTTCTCAGAACCATTCCATCCGACTCCGAAGAATTTTGGATGATTGCTTACGGAGTGAAAACCGCAATAGNAGTAAGCGAAAATTCTCTCCCAAAGAGATGAAAAAGCAAAAAAGTAAACGAACAGGAAATTCGCCATTACTTGCCNCTATTATATAAGTGATTTGTGTTATTTATTATTACCCTCTGAAGGTAATATATTCGTTTTTGGTTTTAAAAACTATATTATAACGAGATCTAATTTTTAAAATAAAAGATTTATTAAATCGATATTATTTAAAAAAGTTGCGATATTTGGCGATTTTTTCAGAAATTGCGCTTTTTATTTAAACAATCTGACACCCTGGTTGGCAGTTGCACCTAAATCTAGCTATATAAAATTATACGTCAGATTAAAGGTATTTTTGGCTCTTTCCGATAAATATATTTGTTAATATAAGGTTTGTTCGTCGAAAATCCAGCAATAATTATCCAACCATCAAAATATCAGAGAGTAAGAAAAAATTATCTCGAATTCTCTCTCATGTTGAGAAACTTGCAAATTCTGCACGAACGCAAATTTGCAGGAATTTGCAAGTTTCCCTGGCCGCTATAGTGTCTATTGGTTGCATTTCAAACATTTGGNATAGTTGCGTTCGATAACAAAATTAGCCAACACCAGCCAACAATCAAAATCAAGAGAGTAAGCGAAAATTCTCTCCCAAAGAGATGAAAAAGCAAAAAAGTAAACGAACAGGAAATTCGCCATTACTTGCCAAAACCGGAAGAAGAAGACACACCAGCTGACTTTGTTTATATTTTATTTGTAAACAAACTGAAATTCATGTTGCCTCCATAGCAGAAAAAAGGAAAGTGAACGTTCAATGTTCGCCAGGAACATTTCTAGAAGTAAAAACTAGTTGGCGCTATCATAAAGACACATAGCAGGCAGCCAAAAAGAATTTAAATACCAAAACTCGGAAAATGCTACTTTGTTTGTTTACAAAAATTGCAACCATATGTTTTGTGATGTTGTTGTTGGATAATTTTTGCTGACTAAAATTTTGCCAGTACAAAATGAACGCTTCTCTTGCATCAAAATAAACGCTTGCTCTCTCAATTTTTGTTTGTTGGATAATCTTTTGTCGATATCGAACGGCATCCAGTAAAAATTTGGCAAAACTATTACAAATTTTTGACTTGTCGAACGCACCTAATAAGTGTTTACTTCATTTTTTCATAAAAAAATCGCTCGTGTTTACAAATTTTTAAATTTAACGAACTTAATTATTCAACTTATCGTAACAAAAATGCAACCATGCGCCACAACATGTTTTTCGTGTTTGCGAATTCTAGCTGGCAAAATTTTTTCCAGCAAGAATTTGGGCATACATCAAGATAACCCACCATTCAGCTATAGAAAAACTAAAAATGCAGAACGCTAGTACTTTTTACGATGATTTTAAATATATAAATATTATTTGCCGCAATTAAAAAGCAAAGTAGATATAAGCGGTTAAACAAAAAAAAATTTGATATTTTAAAATATTAATATTTTCTAAACTGCGTAACCGATTCAAAAGATAATGATGTCAAAATAAAGACAATTAATTTATCTTCATGTTGATATATAAAATGTGTATGATTGTCTATATATTTCAGCCAAAAATATTATAAAACAAAAATAAAGTCATAATTTTTTCATAAAATAACCCTTTTTTAAGAAAAAGTCCATTATCAATGCTAAAAAGTTTACATCATTTAGAAAGTGCAAGTTTTTGCCTTTAATTTGATATACATATTATATTATGATTTGCTTTTGAGTTTTCAGAATTCAGTTATAATAAAAAATATAAATGCAAGAATGTGCAAATGCATATTGTAGTTAATTAAATAAGGCGAGTTAACGGATTTTTTTGGAAGGAGCACTGTTTTTGTTGCAAGCGAGAAATTTATTCTACTTAGTGAGGGTTATAACCCCTAACAGACAGACAGGTGTTCTCTGCAAAAGGTGTTCAGCTCCAATTCTTCGGCAACACAGAAAGGAGAATTCTACTCAGTGAGGGTTATAATCCTTAAGTGCGGCCGAAGGCCGCCTACACAGAAAGGGGTTCTCTGCAAAAGGTTTTCAGCTCCGCTGCGACACGGAAAGAAGAATTCTACTTTGTAAGGGTTATGCTCCCTAAGCGCGGCCGAAGGCCGCCTACGCAGAAAGAAGTTCTGGCCAAAAGAAACTATGATATCACCCACCCTTGCCACTTGCTTGTAAATGCTTTTAAGNTGTTCTCTGCAAAAGGTTTTCAGCTCCGCTGCGACACGGAAAGAAGAATTCTACTTTGTAAGGGTTATGCTCCCTAAGCGCGGCCGAAGGCCGCCTACGCAGAAAGAAGTTCTGGCCAAAAGAAACTATGATATCACCCACCCTTGCCACTTGCTTGTAAATGCTTTTAAGTTTTTTATCACTGAATTCTTAAACCTCAAAAGTAGATCATAATAAAATATGTATATCAAATTAAAGGTAAGAACTTGCACTTTATAAATAGTGTATATGTATTTAGCATTGATTATGCACTTTTTTCTAAAAAAGGTTATTTTATGAAAAAAATTATAACATTTTATTTGTTTTTTAATATTTTTGGCTTAAATATATAAACAAGCACTCACATTTTATATATCAACTTAAAGATAGATTGTCTTTATTTTAACTTCATTACTTTTTTAATCGGTTACGTAGTTTAGTAAATATTAATATTTTAAATTATCGCAAAAAAATTTTAACCTCATATCTTCTTTACTTTTTATTTGCGCAAATAATATTTATATAGTTGAAATCAGCGTAAAAAGTACTATCGGTCTGCATTTTTAGTATTCCCATAGCTGAACGGTTGGTTATCTTGATGTGTTCCAGAATTTGCAAGGTCTCTCCAAGAGATAATAAAACAGGGGATGCTTTCCAGAACTTTCAAAAACCGCAAAAAAATTCAGTGAGACATTAGTTGCGTTTTTTTACTCATTTCCAGTAAAATCCAGTAAAAGTTTTTACGAATTTTCATGTTTTGGCGTTTTCGTACGCAAAAACTTGCAAAGTAGGGGAAATTGAGAGAGCGAAAAATGACAGCTGAAGTTGCAAGTTTTTACTGGATTTTACTGGATAAATTTTTACTTGTAAGAATTTGCCAGTACGAAAAACAGCTGATCGCATGTTGCTGGATGAAATTTAAACTAATAAGGAAACTGTTTGTGGCTTTTTATTGTTGAATTTCACAAAATAAACCTATTTAAATACAAAATATATTGTTCTATAAGGAATTTGCTGCGAATAAACAACCAATTTATGAGCTGTTCATGAAACTTGCAAATTATTACTGGAAAAGCGTTCGCGTACTTTTTTGCAAATTTTTTCTATGAGAGCGAATTCTTAGAAATAAAGTTACTGGAGAGTTACTGGCAAGTTACTGGATAATTTGTAAAAAAACACAACTATTATTAAGCAAAAAAAACGGGAAATATTTAGCTATTTGTACAACGATTTAGGGGTGGGGGCGGAGGGGGAGGGCGTAGCTCCCCAAACCCCCCCTAAACGAAGGGGATCAACGCCGCTTTATGAAAAGTCACCCCTCAGTGATGTCTATTTTGGTTACTGGGTGTTTTATAAAAATATCTTGTATATACAAATGTATATACAAATTTATAACAAAAATTTGCAACAAATACCATATTTGCAACCGACATTATTGTTAAAGTGTGTAAAAGTTTTTTGATTCGATTCACGCGTTTGGACACAGCAACACAAAATAGTTGTACAAATTCATAATAATAATAATAAGATTGGCGCTTACACATATGTTAGGGTTAACACGATGCCGCATAAAAAGAGACCTAAGTGTACATAGATATATACATCGAACGAAATGTCCTTCATCACCTTTCCATTTGTGCCCATATTTTGAAAATCGGTTCGTTTTCGAAATATTAGCATTTTTTCCCCACCACTCCCCAATCAATTTGCACAAAAAAAATGTTAACCATTAAACTCAGCAAAAAGGGGTAGACGACGTCCACTTTTTCTTTTTTTCTCTAGCTCAAAAGTCCGCATCCTTTAAGAATGCCAGCACCTGGCTATAACCAAAATCTCTAAAATTGAATAGCGCTACTTAAATATTAAACATTTAAAACATACCAGTCTCTTTGCTTCAATCAACGACTTTATTTTATCAACGGCTTCTATCATATCCTCCAAAGAAGGGGATGAGCTTGTGAAAACGCTTTCTCGCGGCGCCATTTTAAATAGCAGACAAGGGTTTGGCTTCTCTTGTTTTAAGGCCGCACCTTTGAGCTACGAATATTTTTATATAACTAAAGAATACTCAACTGATTTCCACCTGAATCGGCTTACTTTTTTTTGAAATAAACATACAACTCGCTGAGCTCAGTTTTAGGGCCCCATCACACGATGAATATTATCACGATAATTGATCGTGATATTTATTGACCGTGTAGCGCGAAAAATTTCTAGGTCGTGATCAGTGTTACTGTGTAGAATCTTTTTTACTCTTTTTTACTTTGGTTTTGCCATGGTGAAATTATGCCATTTTTTATATTTTCACCATGGAGTTTTGCAGGAAAAATCCTGTTTAGCTTTCAGCTTTGTTCTTATACTAGGTTTATATATAAGTAGATTATCCTCATTTTCGGGCTTAACTCCCTAATCGGTAATTAGGAAAAAAAGATTTGCCGTACAAAATTCGTCCCTTCTTAATTTGTAATTATGAAGTAATCTCAGATTTTACCAATAACTTTTTGGTGGGATTATAGGCATACATCAACATAACCAACCGTTCAGCTATAGAAAAACTAAAAATGCAGGGTCTTCTACGGTCTCGACGAGGTGACCCTAAAGGTCTGTCGCGGGGATGCGCAGCGCGCCTCTAGTGCGAGTGCCTCAGTGGACGTGGATATTGAGGAGCCTGAACCGGGGATCTCACTGACGCTGAGAGCAGTGCCTCCACAGAATCCAACCTCGCATTGGCGATGTGGAGGATGTACGAGGAGGAGCTGCTACTCAGCGATGTGGAGGACGACGCTGATGTCACCGTTGTAGCAGTGGACGAGGTGGCAGGAACCTCAAATGAGGGTACTGTAGATCAACCTCCACAGATCTAGGGCAGCCTCGGCTGCTCTTTTGAGTCGCCTGTTCAACGGCGACGTCGATGTCCCACTCATCCAAGAACCCTGGGTGAACAACTCAAGGGTCGGTCTGTGGTCTGAGCGCGGTATGTTTTAAGCTTCTGGTGGAGCGAAGTAGAGGTAAATGAGAGCCTGTGTAATGGCAAAGTCGGATTTAAATATCTTTCTTCTACCTTATTATAGCGATGGTGAATCACGAGTACCATACTGGATATAGGGGAGGCGTGTCGATCGTGCTGGCCTCCGTTTACTTGCCCTATGAGGCCAAGCATCCTCCGCAATACTTGTTGCGCAGACTGGTCGACGAACACAGCTCAGGTTTCATTCTGACGGGAGGCGATGCTAATGCTCACCATGTACAGTGGTGGAGCTCGAACATCAATAGTCGAGGTGAGTCTCTTTTTAACTACCGTTTAACAACTAATCTCATTATTTGTAAGAGGGGTTCAAAACCCACTTTTGTTGTGAAAACCCGTGAGGAGGTCATAGACCTTACGCTATGTAATGACAATAGTTTTGATTTGGGTTAAAGCTGGAGAGTTCTTAACGAACTCTCTTTTTCCGACCGTAGGTATATTGAGACGATTCTGGACTTTTATCTGACTGCTCCTTAGGTTCGAAAGAACCTAAGGAATGCAGATTGGGAAATCTACAAAGACACTCTGGAACCTTAGTTACCATATCCGGCACCTGTGGAGCCCAGCACTACTGGTGAGTTGGATAACATAGTTAACTCTTTTACTCGGATTTGTTCAGAGGCCTTGGCTAAGGCTCGTCCTGACCCTAGACCTAGGGGAAAACGAAAACCCCACTGGTGGTCCCGAGAGTTGGACGCACGGCGAAAATCCTGCAGAGTGCAGTTCAACAAGGCAAGAAAGCTGAGTCACGAATCTGAGTGGCAAAGATATAAACAGTTTTTGCGTGAGTACAAGAAGGCTCTGCGGGAGGCCAAAAGAGGTCTTCCTGGAGGGATTTTTGTAGTAGTGTCGAGGGTAATTCCGAGACTTTCAGATTAAGGAAAATCCTTGAACCAGATCGGTTTCTGCAGAAGCAATGGTTCCTGAACCACGACGGGAATGGAAACGATGGAACTGCTCTTGGACACACAAACGGGGGCTATTTACACCTTCCTTCGGGCGGGGTAGGAAATGTGCCTGCCACAAGGAAAAGGATATCTTGGGCGATACGAAGCTTTAAGACCTATAAAGCGGCGGGGCCAGATGGGATTAATCCCGCACAACTGGCTGTGACACTTGAAACCCCTCTTGATCTGCATTAGCGGGGCAATCCAGATGATGCTTCAAATATATTTTTGGATCTTTTGCAACTAGATCTAGTGGGTTAGCAGATGGCATCTCTTGCTGCACTTCGGTTAAGAGAGACAGGGCAAAGGGAATCGGGATTGCTGGGTCACTCCTACATTCTGGAGAAATATAACTTTCTTCTCGGCTGTACCGACCGTTGTGTAGAAACTCTGGTTATGGATAGAAACTTCGTCATGAAAATCCCAAGCAGGGAGGAATGGGAAGAAAACTACTATACCACCCGGTAGTATAGTAATTTTCACAGACGGTTCAAAAATGGGCGGCGGGGTGGGAGTGGCGTCCGTTTCCCGAAGCCCTGACCTGAGCCGTTCATTTCGACTACCGGACCACTGTAGTGTCTTCCAGGCTGAGGTCTCAGCTATAACGCTGTAAACGAACTTCGTACTGATTTAAAAGGTAAGGACGTGTTCATTTTTAGTGACAGCAGGCAGCAATTAAAGCTGTTAGCTCCGTCACAATTAAATCAAAAATTGTGCTGGACTGTCGCCGATCTCTGCAAGAGATGGCTAAGCAGAACAGTCTAAACCTCATTTGGGTTCCCGGTCATAGGGACATTGAGGGTAACTGTAAGCGGGCGAACTTGCGAGGGGGGCTACGACCAAGCAGATTCTTCCCGATAAAGAACGCACTGGTGTACCCTTCGCGTAGGACCCTACAGTCGCTCGTTGGAAGAGCCGGATTCATAATTTGTAGCATCCTAAGGATGCGCTCCAGCGATGATGGCGTGACCGGCACCCACGGCCTGGCCTTAGGCCTGACAGGAATGCCTTTCCAGTCCTCCACCTCCAGATTTGCTCCTAGGTAGACAGCTCCCACCTTTGCGACGGCGGCCTTATACAGCGCCACCGACCTCGCATCATCGCAAGCCACAACCTTGATGTGGCCCTGGTACCAGCCGAATATCTGCACGCGGGAGGGGTTCCCGGGTTCTCCAGCAAGACTTCAAAAATGTAGTTTGCCAGAGCTGCCTTCACCCTTCTTCATTGTTCCTGAGGGATGGAGGCGAGTTCGTTGTCGCGGTCAAGAACCCCAATAAGGATCCTGTCCCTAGCAACTTCAGCAAAGCTAGGTCTAGCTGCCCGGAGTGCGTCCGGATTTTCTTAGGTTGAGGCTGTTGTTCCTCCACCGCTCTTTGCCTTTTGGTTTGGCTTTCCAACGAAACCCCAGCTGTGGTCTGGAAGTTTGGTAATAGGGCTTTCGCTCTCACTATCAACTCCTTCGCACTCTGAGGAAGCGTGTACGACCTCACCATTTCATAAATTTTAGGAGTTTTGGCCACCTTCCGCTTCTCAGCGTGAAGGGACCGCTCCTGTGCTTTATCCTGAGAAGAGCCGCCCGTAGTTTCCCTCGCGGCGGCTCCCCCAGTGTTAATTTTTGTAGCCGCTTGTCGACTTTCCCCACTTGAGCCAGGTCGTGAGCCGTTCCGGCATTTGGTGGGCAGGCCCAGGAGCCACAGATTGACCTGCCGTTGTCAGCATAGTCTCTGCAGCCTTGTTGTTACTGGGCCCCACCATAACGCCCGTTATCACGGAGCGACATGAAGTTGCCCCCAGAGCCGCCCCGGAAATGCCCTCCATAGGGCTAGAAGGTGCATGTGCCTGCGCTGTCTTTCCCCGAGACGAAGTGTGTGTTTTGTTTTCTCAGTTTTAACCGGCTTGTCCATTCTAAAAGAGTCTCCACTCGAATCCGCTATCCTCACTCGGGCGTTGTGGTCACTATGGGATCCCATGGGTATCTACGAAGACAGGGAGGCCATGCTTGACCCCTCACCCTTAAGGGGCAAGGGATCAAAGCCAGATCCAGTGAAAACACGGGATGGCGTGTCAACCGTTACCTACAACCACCAACTTAACGGCGACGAGATCGGAACGTACTCCGAGGCCTGCCAGGGTTTTAACGGGACGGAGGCGGTCACGGCATTAGCCCGAAAGCCATTTCTGTAGGGTGTCACCCCTACATACTCAGGTAACAGAATACCGCAACCACCAGCTCAAGGCGAACTAAATCAAAAATGTTGAGGAAATTGGGGTAGTCCGTGGATGAAAGCAGGATCATACCAGGGGAGATGTTTCACCTTCCTTTATCTGTTCCCAAACAGGTTGAGGTTAACAGTGCCACCAACGTGAAGGAAAAGGAGGAGATTTATAGCGAGAAGTGGAAAGGTATCACATCCGAAGATCAGCCGCTACAACAACAACAACAACATCAGCCGTCGCGTTGAACTTCACTACCCTTTAGGCACCTTTTGGAGTTTAACTTTAATTAAAAAGGTCACAATAACTATAATTAAATAACCAAAATTTAAATGATATTTTAAAAACAAAAAAAAATGTAAAAACATGTTCCTTGGCAGTGGGATTCGAACCCACGACTGCCCGGCTTGCTAAATCCGCAATCCAGCAGCGGGCACAGGGTAAACTAATTAAAGTACTCATATTTCTATACATTGCCGGGTAAATTTTTTCTCTTCATATGGATAGCACTGCTCTCTCTCATCTTAACAAAAAGCTGTTTCTAATGGGCTGTTTTTGCTTACGCGTAAAAGCACATTTAGCGCATTTAGCTCTAAATGCTACTCTAAATGTACATTTATCCACACAAAATTCGTCACCTAAATGCAATTAAATGCAACTCCATTTTTGCATTAAGAATCTAAATGCTAAAAGCAACCCTGTGATCTTCCAAAATTTCCACGATTCGAACATGGTTTAATGATAAAAAGGGGCAACATTGCATTTTCGAGTATACAGTGGCTAGCTGCGTTTCAGTGATCGCCGATCGAGATTTCATTTATTATTTTACATAATTTGGATAAAGAAAAGTTAAGAAAATTCAATATCGATGTGATGCTGATAGAAATGTGGATCAATTTGTGATCAATTCTGT